CCGATGTACTATCCCACCTAAAACAACCCCCCCCCCAAAAAGGACAAATAATATGAAACAATGTTTTTCAAGGTACTAGACATTAGGCGGTGAAGGACTGTGACACCCCACCCTCACCCCAGCAAGAGATGGGAAACAAACGAGGCAAGCCCTACACATGCCCTAGCTTACTGGCTTGAGAAAGTTTTCAGGCTGTGATGCAGGAAGGGGAAACCCAGGTGGAGTCCAGTGGACTCCACGAGTTAAAGAGACAGCTGGGGAGACCAAAGCATCTTGAGTTTTTAGAATAGAATACCAAGGAGAGGAAAGTGCTACTCAAAGAGAAAACCCCCTTGGGAGCTCATCACCACATGCACATGAGGACATTACCTGAGGCTGAGGAAAGAACCACTGGAAAGGGTTAGAGGCAACACTGACCACTCTGACACAGGGCAGGAAATAGTGCCTATTTCCATTGGACTCCTGGGGCATTGCATAGCATACACAGAAGGGTTTTCTCTCAGCAGTGGGGAGTTATTAGCTCTATACTGAGAATTCTGGACCCACCAAATAAATCTTAGAAACAAAATCTGTAAGAACAAGTAGACAGGAAGTCAGTAAGAATATGGAAAATTTAAAAAAAAGAAAACTGTCAACAACTAGACCTAATTTATAGAACACTCCACCCAACCACAGCAGAGTAATTTTTCTCAGTGCAAACAGAATGCTTAGCAAGATAGACCATATTCTAATCCCAAAACAAGTCTTAATAAATTTAAAAGGATTCGAATCATACAACATATCTTCTCTGAAAACAATGGAATTAAATTAGAAATCAATAATAGATTTCTGGAAAATCCCCCAAACTTGGAAATAACACATTAACCCATACGTCAAAGAAGAAATCCAAAGGGTAAGACATTGTGAGCTGAATAAAAATGAAAAAACAATATACAAGTGTTGTACATGCCTCTAAATCAGTACTTAGGGGGGCAACTGTAGCACTAAACATTGTAAGAAACTAGAAAAATAAGACCAAATTAAACACTAAGTAAACAGATGAAGAGAAATAATAAAGATCAGAGTGTAAATTAATGAGATACAAGTTGGCAAACTACAACCTGTGGGCTGGCTCCCTCTTTTTGTAGACAAATTTTTGCACAGACACAGCCCTGCTCTTTCACTTACGTATTGTCTATGGCTGCTTTCTAGCTACAACAGCAGAGTAGGTAGTTTTGGCAGAGACCATATGGCCCGAAAACCTAACGTATTCACTATCTAGCCCTTTAAAAGTTTGCTAATCAGAAAAACAAAGAAAAAGACATAAAGTCAGTAAAACAAAAAGCTCTTTCTTGAGATTAATAAAATCAGTAAGCCTCTAGCAGGACTGATCAGGGGAAAAAAGAAAAGACACAAATCGCCAATAATATAAATGAGTGAGGTGATATCACTACCAAATACTAAAAGGATAATAAGGGAAATCTTATGAGCAACTTTTTGTCAATAGATACAACAACTTAGATGAAACAGACAAATTCCTTGCAAGACACACACTACAAAGCTCACTCAAGAAGAAATAGGTGTATATGTTATAGAAATTTAATTTATTAGAAAGCCTTCCCACAAGGAAAAGTCCAGGTCTAGGTGGCTTCATTGGTGAATTCTATCAAATATTAAAAAAAAAAAAATAGTAACTCTACACAAACTCTTCCAAAAATATTAAAACAGAGAATACTTACCAGCTTATTCTGTGAAGTCAGCATTACCCTGATACCAAAATCAGACAGACATAAGAAAAGAAAATGGCATACCAATATCCTTCATGAGTATAGATGAAAAATTCTAAACAAAATTTTAGTAAATTGAACCCAACAATAATAAAAAGGATAATACATCATGACCAATTGGAATTTCAGGAATGAAAAGCTAGTTTAACATTTGAAAATCTGTCAGTGTGATTCATCATAATAGCAAACTAAAAAAAAAAGTGTGATCTCTCAATAGATACAGAAAAAAGCATTTGACAAAACCCCAACATCCATTTCTGATTTAAAATAAAACTCTCGGGGTTCCCCGGTGGTGCAGTGGTTGGGAGTCCGCCTGCCGATGCAGGGGACGCGGGTTCGTGCCCCGGTCCGGGAAGATCCCACATGCCGCGGAGCGGCTGGGCCCGTGAGCCATGGCCGCTGAGCCTGCGCGTCCGGAGCCTGTGCTCCGCAGCGGGAGAGGCCACAACGGTGAGAGGCCCGCGTACCGCAACAAAACAAAACAAAAACCTCTCAGCAAACTGGAAATAGAAGAGAACTTCCTCAGCCTGAGAAAGGACATCAACAAAAAACCTACAATAGATATACTTAATGGTGAAAAGTTGAATGCTTTTGCTATGAGATCAAGAACAAGATAAGGATGTCAACTCTCACCACTTCTATTCAACATCCTATTTGAGGCTCTAGTCAGCGCGATTTGACAAGAATCAGAAATAAAAGGCACCCAGATTGGAAAGGAAGAAGTAAAACTGTCTTTATTCGCAGATAGCACGATCACCTGTGTAGGTGCACTGGCAAGTCAGTGGGGAAAGGATCGTCTGTTCAACAAATGGTGCTGGAACAACTGGACATCCATGTATAAAAGGATGAACTCCAATCCAAAACTTGCATCATATACAAAAACTAACTCATAGACCTAAATGTAAACCCTAAAACCATGAAACTTCTAGAAGAAAATCTAGGAGAAAACTTATGACCTGGGTTAAGCAAAGATTGTTTAGATACAAAACCAGAAAAAATTGATAAGTTGAGCTTCATCCAAGTTAAAAACTTCCGCTCTTGGAAACGCACTGTTCACAGAATGAAAAGAAAACATACAGACTGGGAGAGATATTTGCACAGCATACATCTGATAAAGAACTTGTATCCAGAAGATGTAAAGAACTCTCAAAACTCAATAATGAAAAATGAGCAACCTCTTTTAAAAATGGACAAAAGATTTCAACAGATATTTCACCAAAGAAGGCACATGGATGGCAATTAAATACATAAGAAGATGTGCAACATCATTAGTCATTTGGAAAATGCAAATTCAAACACAGTGCTCTACTCCTACACACCCGTTAGAATGGCTAAAAGTAAAGAGACCGGCCATACCAAGTGTTGGTGAGGAACTGGAAGAACTGGAACCCTCATACACTGCTGGTGGCAACATTAAGTGGTGCAGTCACTTTGGAGAACAGTTTGTGGCAGTTTCTTAAAAAGTTATACATATATACAAATATACATGAATAAACATACATACATGAAAAGTACTTGAAAAGTTAAACACACAGGCTTAGAGCAGGACCCTGGGCGGGGGCACAGCTGGACATGAGAGCATCTGGCAACCTCTGGGCAAGGTGGATCCAGGTTTCGTAAATGAAGCTTCTGTGACGTGGGTGGCCCTCTTTAGGAAAAAGAATTGAAAAAAATGAGAAATTCCAGTTAGATACAAACCTGAGTATTCATTTAGGACAAACAAGTAACCACAACAAATTCTTAGAGCCATCCATCTCCAGGTCCCTTTCTTCTGAGTCATCTGGAGATGTTTTTGCAGAAAAGCATACATGGAAAAGCTTCCTGGCAACACCTGGCTTCCCTTCCCCACATGGAACACTTGGCCACCCCAGGCCTCGTAGTCCACGTTGAGTGGGACCCTAAAGACGCAGAGCCGCTGTCCCCTTTTCAGTGGCGGTGCCCTTGCCCCGTGAATGACCATGCAGCTGCCTCAGCTGTGGGTATAATCTTTGTTTTCCATCGGCCTGCACTCTCTCTTGGGTTTCAGGCTCTGCTGTCTCAAGCTTCCTTCCTCTCCACCGCTGCAGTGCTGCTGCCCAGTTACTGCCTGGGCCCAAAGGAGCTGGGCTAGTGTGTGTATATTGCGGGGCTCAGAAGGCATCCTAGGACCCTGGCTCACCACTCTCCTGAGCTTTGGGCCCCATGGGCCCCTCCAGCCTGCTTTCCCACTACCCAGCTTCCGGGCCTCACTTGTGGCACTCCCCCAGCAAGGATGCACCTCATCCCGTGCTCCAGCCCTCAGAGCCGTCCCCTCGGTTTCCCCAGTCCTCATCAGCCTTGCTGTGACCACTGTCAGCCTGACCGCAGCAGGTCACCTCGTTCATGGGGAATGGGGGGAGCAGGGGGTGGGGTCCCTGCCCCAGCCCAGAGCTGGAGACTTTGAATCCCTGGCTCTGCCACGGATTAGCTGTGTGAATTCAGACAAGTTCCTTAATCACTCTGCTTCAGTTTCCTTGTCTGTCAAATGTAGATAGCAATAGCACCTCGCTCAGAGGCATTGTGAAGATGAAAGAGTCCTAGGAGGGCAGGTGAGTCTGTCAGCTTTGTTAACTGGAAGAATCAGGCACCGCTCTAGTTCACTGGAAGGCAGGTACCAAGAGCCCAGTAAGCACTTAACTCCTGTCTGGTCTCTGTCACTGGGCTGCGGGCCCCAGCAAGGGTCAGCCTCGCTCGCACAGTTCTCCTGTCATCCCACCCCCTTGGGAACACGGATCTCTGCGACTCACCCCACCAGCAGATAAGCCCGGTTAGCTTATAGTGACATAGGTGACATATAGCATATAGTGACATTTAGCTGTGCATTTCAGATGTGTGAAGTTGATTTAAATAAAATACATAGCGAAGCTCCTCTGGCATCCGAACTTCTCTGAGCTGGTGTCACATCTGCATGCTTTTTCCTACTAGTACCCCAGGATGATTTTAATGCTGTGGAGAAATAACAAAGAAGACAAAGGGAGAAAAAGAAACCCAAGAGGGCCCCAAAGCCAGATGTGTGACGTGGGATGTGGGAAGGGGGTGGCCTGCCAGTATAGAACCAAAAAGCACAGCTGTTGCTGAGTGGTTTCTGGAGAGAAGACCTCCTCACACCCCAGGGAATGAAAGCCAGCTGTGGTCGGGACTGGAGAGAGCCCTACGGGGGAGGCCCCCCGTGTCCGCCGGGGTCCCTGCAGTAAGCCTGTTCTCCCTGTCTTGCAGGTGGTGCTGGGGAGCGGGAGAAGGTGCCGGCCAACCCCGAGGCGCTCCTGCTCATGGCCAGCTCCCAGCGGGACATGGAGGACTGGGTGCAGGCCATCCGCCGGGTCATCTGGGCCCCATTCGGCGGAGGTACGGCCCGTAGCGCGCATGCTCACCCTCTAGAACCCTTGCCTCCAGGTAATCACGCCCCTCCGCCCTGCTCTGAGCCTGCAAGGTCCCTCTCACTCAGGTCTTGCTGGCTGAGTCCCACACTTCGTACTGCAGACAGGCAGTGTCGTCCTCTTCTGCTGCTGGCCCTCAGGGGTCACCCCTCGGTGGGCTGAGCAGGTCCTCGCAGGGGAGGTTCGGGCCACTTGTCAAAAACATGCCCTCCTCTGCCTGGACAGCCCTGGGGCTTGTCCGTGGTTCCCTGTGTCCAGACCCTGCTGAATGCTGGGTGTGTACGGGTGGTCTACACTTAGGCCAGAAGTGGACGCTCAGGCTCATATCGGATGGCGAGGTACCGTGTCCTTCCCTCTGTCGCGGCTTGTGGCCCCTGCACGGCTCTCTGTCCCTGACCTGAAAACAAAGGTTGCCGTTTACTCACCTGCTCCTTTATTCTGCACTTTTATTGGGTGCCTAAAATGTATGGAGTGGTATTCCAGGTGCTAAGAATTCAGTGGGAAACCAAAGAGAGGATGCTTCTGCCCTCCCCGCCCCCTCCATTGTCCTGGGGGAGACAAATGATAGGCAAGTAAAGGTGACCCGTGATGTCTAGTAGGGAGAAACGCAGGGAGCAAAGTAGAGCCAAGTGGAGGATGGAGGGGGCACTGTGTCAGGTGTTGTTCATTAAGCCAACTTAATTAAGTCACCAGGAGATCCAGGGGATGCGGGGGAGAGCATGCAGGCAGAGGGACCAGCGAGTGCAAACGCCCTGGGTTGGGAAAGGGCCTTGGAAACACGAGGACCCTCAGGAAGGCCAGAGGGTCTGAGGGAGTGAGGACAGGAGGATGGAGGACCTGAGGCCTTGGGGACGTAGTGGGGCTTCCAGATTTTGTTCTAAATTGATGGGGCACCAGGGAGGGCTCTGAGGAGGAGACAGACACAACTTGATTTATATTCATAAGAAGAGTCATCTGGCTGCCATGTGAGGGGTGGGTCATAGAGACAAGAGCGGCTGAAGCAGGCTGGGACAGTTGTTGGACCCGGGTGCGGGGCCTGGGCCCGTGTGGGAATGGAGGAGACCATGGAGAGCGGTCAGCTGAGACGTGTTCTGAAGGTGGGGCTGCAGGGTTTGCTGATGGTCTGGAAATGGGGCGCAGGAGAAAGGAACGCTGCCGCCCAGCTGTGCAGGTGCTGTCTCTGTAGGTCGGTGTCCCTGCGCAGTCATCCTGAAAAGGGCTTTTAGAAAGGTTCACCATGTCAGCTGGGCTGGGGTCACCAACCCCCAGCTAAGTGTGGAGACAGGGGCCTTTGGGTCAGCTGTGTTCTGACCACATGAACCATGGACATCCTCTCTCTCCATGTTTCACAGTGTTTGATTGATGCACCATCCAGGCAGGGGCAGAAGCTCACCTTTGGGGGCTTCCTACATGGCTCCACACTGTTAGCCGTGGCCTCCCTGCCCCCTGGTGATCACAGCACCTTTGACCCACAGCCCCAATTTAATGGCCTGGGAAAACCCAAGCCCACCCAGGAACTTCTGCAGCCTCCACGGGCTTCCTTTGGTGCAAGGTGGTTGAAAGTGACCCAATGGCACAGAATAGAGCCCAGATGCCCATGCCTCTGGACTTGGATTTATGACAGGTAGCACCTCTGAGCACCAGGGAAAGGAGAACATTGTCATGGTCTTGGCTAGCAAGAGACTCTTTAAATGAGTTACAAAAAGCACCAAGAATTTAGCAACAATACAATGGAGAAATAAACACAATTCATTCTTACAACAGAAAACTCTACAGCAGTGAGAATGAATGAACTACAGCTCTACCCAACAGCATACATGAATCCTAAAAGCATACGGTGAGACTAGGGCAGCCCAAGAACATGCTGTGATTCTATTTACATAAAGTCGAAAATAGGGCAGAAGGAAACCGTGTTATTTATGGGTAAATAATTAGGCAGCAAAAATATAAAGAAAAGCAAAGAAATGAATGCCATAAAGGTCAGGATAGCAGGCCTAGTTACACAGGTGCTCATTTTATAATACTCTGCATCTCTGTGCATAGGTGCTTTAAATACTTTTTGAATGTCTGCATATTTCACTACATAAAAAATCAAAACCTAAATAAAACAAAGAAAGGAGAGTAACTAAAGGTCAAAGAGGCTAAGTAATTTGCCCAAGATGACACAGCTAGTCAGGAGCAGAGCTGAGAAACAGAGGCACATGTTCTGACCCCAAAGGCTGTGTTTTGTCCCAGCCCATCCAGGGCACTGTCACGTCACATGTGGTCTACCTGTACTCAGTGTGCTGGTTCCCTGACCCACACACGTGCCTGTCTGCCTGTTTGTCTCTCTGTCTGTCTCTCTCTGTACTTGCTAAATGGGGACCATTTGCAGAATCCCACATAGAAACCAGATTTGCCCCTCCCCCGGCCCTCATTCCCCAGCGTTTATCAGACTTCTCAGGCTGTGTGCCGTGTGCCGAAGAAGTCACAAGAATGAAAACAGGAACCACCATCAAAGGCGCTTATCTCCTTTCTACCAGAAATATAGAGGAAAGGCAGAAATCCCAGGGGTTAGCGGTGGCAGACATGTCCGGGCAAGTTTGGCACTTGAAGGGGGTCTCCATCCGCCTCTGCAGGTTTTGTGGCAAAGCTGTTATTAGCCTGGGTTCCCCTGGAAAGGAGGCTTAGAGGATCAGCCCTTCTTTCACTGTTTAATAACGGAGCCCGTGAGCCCTTTCAAGCATATTTGTTCTGGCAGAGAGCGGCCACCTCTGACAGGCACCAGTGGGCAGCGTGCCTGCTGCAGTCAGGGGAGAGCCCGGGCACCCCACAGAGAAAACGCCAGCCAGCGGGGCAGGGGAGCCGGTCACTGCCGATGGCCTGCCCAGGGGTGGTCCTGATGGAGTGCCTCTTGTCTGGGCATTCATTCAACCAGTCAGTCATTCACTCGAGGATGTGTTCTGGGGGCTGGTAACACAGCAGTGAGTGGGACAGGCAAGGTCCCTGCCCTCGTGGGGTGTACATTCCAAGAAAGGAGACAGACGGCAAGCAAGTAAGCCTGGTGTAGGTTAGATGGTAGAGAGCGCAGTGGAGGCAGATGAGATGGGGAGGGCAAGCGGGAGTGATGGGGGCTTGGAGTTCAGTGACATTTGAGTAAAGGAGACGAAGGGGTGAGTTACGCATATATCTGGGCAGAGCGTTTTGGAGGCAGACGGCGGGGGTTGGAAGAGCAGCAAGGAGGCCAGTGTGGCTGGAGCAGAGTCTGTGAAGGGGGAGAGAGGAGGTAAGGGCTGGTAAACCAGTAGGGCCTTGTCACGGTGATGACTCTGGATCTTCCTCTGAGCGAGGTGGTATCATTGGCAGGTCTTGAATAGAGCAGTGGCCAAGCCTGACTCAGGTCCCAGCAGGATCCCTCTGGCTGCTGTGTTGAGAATGGATGAAAGAAGCAAGGACAGAAACAGGGAGACCAGTTAGGAGCTCGTTACACAATCGTGCAGGTGAGAGGTGATGGCGGCTTGGCTCAGGATGGCATGGGTGATGAGGAATAATTGAGTTCTTGATGTATTTTGAAGGTAGAATGGGTGAAAGGTGTAAGAGAATGAGAGAAGTCAAGGGTAATTCCAAGGTGTTTTGATCTAAGCCAACTGGAAGGATGCATTAGCTGTTAACTGAGATGAGAAAGAACACAGGAAGTGCAGTTGTTTGGAAGGAAGATGCAGAGTTCACTTTGGGGCTTATCCTGGGATACATGTTAGAGGCTCAAGCTTAAGGTATCACGTAGGCAATTTGACATTTACGTCTAGAGACCAGGTGAGAAGGCTGGGTTGGAGAGAGAATGTGGGGGCCATTGACACATAGATGGGGTTTGAAGCCATGAGGCTGGATGAGACACCATGGAGCTAGTGGAGGGACAGCAGAGGACCAGGGCTGAGCCCTGAGCTGCTTCCAGGTGGGAAGTCAGGGAGCATAGGAGAAGCCAGCACAGGGGATGAAGAGAGCCAGGAGCAAGTGGGCTCCCTGGGCTGAGTGAAGAGAGCATCTAAGAAAGAAGTATCTGTGCACTGCCAATAGATCAACCAGGAGAGAACAGGTGGTGAGCACAGTCCATGGTTGACTTGTCAAGGGTGGTTTTGGTGGAGTCCTGGGAGTAAAGCCTGATAATAGTGGGTATGAAAAAGGATAAGAGGAGGGGAATTGGAGTGTGATCATAGCCAACTCTTTCAAAAAGTTTGCTGTAAAGGGAAAAAGAGAAATGGGACAGTAGCTGGAGGAGGGAGTCAGGTGAAGAGAGTTTCGTTTATTTTTTTAAGTTGGGAGACAAAACATCAACGATGGTACAGGTGAGGGAGAGAAGAATCGCTGGAGCACCAGTATCTCTTGTGGATATAGATGGGAAATTCCTCAACAAAATACAAAGAAATTGAATCCAGCAATATATAAAAGGATTATAACCATGACCAAATGAGATTTATCCCAGGAATGCAAGGGTGGTTTAACATCTGAAAATTAATTAATGGCATACATCAATAGAATAAATGACAAAAACCACATGATCATCTCAATCAACTCAGAAAAGGCATTTGACAAAATCCAGCACCATTTCATGATAAAAACATTCAACAGTCTAGAGATAGAAAGGAATTTTCTAAACCTGCTAAAGGGCATCTACAAAAAACCCCACAGATAACATCATGCTTAATGGAAAAAGACTGAATGCTTTTCAGGAACAAGACAAGGATTCTCCCTTTCACCACTTCTATTCAACACTGTACTAGACCAGAACAATTCTAACCAGAACAATTAGGCAAGAAAATGAAATAAAATGCATCCAGATTGGGAAGGAAGAAACAAGTAATCTATTTGCAGATGACATGATTTCGTATATAGACAGTGTTAAGAAATCTACTAGAAATCTATTAGATCTAATAAAAAATTTCAGCGCGATTGCAAGATACAAGGTCAATATACACAAATCAATTTTATTTCTATACAGTAGCACTGGGAAAACTGAAAATGAAATTAAGAAAACTCCAT